TAGAACTTTTCAAATTAACTAATATGTTTTCTAAAATTGACGAATACATTTTTGTGATAAAATTTTACTGTCCCTGACCCTTGACTAAAATTTTACTGTCCCTGACCCTTGAGCCTCTCTCCCATCATAGTCCCTAACCCTTGAGCCTTTCTTCCATCATAATCCCTGACCTGTGAGCCTCTCTCTCTTCATAGACCCTGACCCTTGAGCCTCTCTTCCATCATAATCCCTGACCTGTGAGCCTCTCTCTCTTCATAGACCCTGACCCTTGAGCCTCTCTCCCATCATAGTCCCTGACCCTTGAGCCTCTCTCATGACCCTTGAGTTGCATCTCACTGTATTCTCTAAAAAATTTTATTTATCTAGTTTTTTCCCCTGCACATCGAAAAAAATATTACTTAAAAAAAACCAAAAGTTTAATTAGGTATAAATAATGCTAATGAATATAATGTAATAATTTTGATAAAACTTTAAGAAAATAAATAAATGACTAGGTTTTAATTGTACATACTATTGTAATAGTTGTAATTGTACATACTGTTGTTATTAAATGAACTCTTTTTTGTTATTATATTATAGTTATTAAATGAATCTCTTTTAATTAAATGAAAGATATTGTTATTAAACAAACAAAAATAAAAGATTGAAAAGTTTAATAGAATGAAAAGATATAAGGGTTTTAAGATTTTTTATTAACTAAATCGACTTTTAGTAGATTAGTAAGTAAGATTAGTAACTCCCTGAGGATGGAGTTTCACCTACTTTTATTAATATAATATTGTTATATTAATAGAAGTATATTTATATTAACACCGTTATTATTATATAAGTATGTGTGTGTGTGTATGTGTGTGTGTGTAGGTAAAATTAGTAAGTAAGGTTAGTAACTCCATTAAATTCAATTTTTCAAAGTTTTCAACAAAGTTTTCAACTCAAATAGTCAATTTTTAGTCGATTTAGTTGAAGTCATTAGCAACACTAATTTTTTATTTTAATTGTTTTATATTGAAGTCTGCAAAAAATTGCTGACCTCAGATACTGTCAGGTCAGCAGTTAGGTTGGCATTGCTAAATGCTGAACTTAATTCTGACCTTATATACGCGCACATTATTTTTTTTTTACTTATTTAGGAACTTTATGCATATGGTGTGGTTAATATAGTTGGAAGCTTTTTCTCATGTTTTTATGCATCTGGTTCGCTTTCACGATCTGCAATACAATATAGTCTTGGAAGTACTCAGGTTACTTAATGTTTAATTTATTCTGAGAAAAAATATATTTATGTTTAAAATGTTTCCCTAATTCAAAGAGGGCTAAAATTAAAGATTATTATGAAATATTTTGAAGCTTATAAAATTTTAATTTCTACTATCAGCATGTTTGTTACACAAAGTTTAGATTTAAAAATCATAAAAAATTTTTAAATTTTTATGTTATCGTTAAGTTCATTTATTTATAGGCTATAAATAACAGTATTACAAATAGCACTTTTTAAAAATAAATATTTTACTAGTTAAATTTTAAAGTATTATTTAAAATGTTTATTGAAATTAACAAAATTAACAGTCACAGACCAGAAGTGAAGTAAAGTGGGAAAGAATAAAGTATGCTAGGATTAAGGAAATTTGTTTTCGAACGAAGGAAATTTAGGCAGTTGTCCAAATAACAACATTATGTTTTCTTTTAACAATGTAATAGAAGAACAATAATAATTATTTAAAGAAAATTATTAAAAACAGTCAGAACTCATAAAAATCATATAATAATAAACATAAATCTCAATTAAATGCTGATGAAGAAGTATATAAAACACAAATTACAATCCAAACCAAAGTTTATAATATAAAATCAAATGCAAAAAAGGACAAACCTAAAATAAAACTGGTAATAATCCTGTTATTTTATTTTTATACACCCCACATTATCTATCACTTTTTATTTCAATCAACTTAGTATTATCTACTTGCTCATTTCTCACTTAATAATGTAAAAATTTAGTCATTTATTTTTATCCTAAGCTCTTTTTTTCCGTATCAGAGCCTCCAAAACAATAATAAAAAGTGCAAGACTGAATGCCCTGATGTATACCAAACTTAAAATTTCTTTCTCCATTTTTTGTTTTGATTGCTGCTTTGATATTTTTTATAAATCATTTCAAAACATAAGATTTTTTGTGTAATATGAAGAAAATAAAAGGATTTAAATGTGAAATGAAGAAAAAGCAGACACAAATATTTTTAAAATAAAGGCAGAGGGAAGGTGATAATGTGAATTATTAGAAGTTATGGAAAAACAAAACATAAAAGTAAGTGGTGAGGTTAACATAAAGACATTTCCATATTAAAAAATATTTTTAATTTAAGTTGATGTATGTTTATAATTTCTAGAAAACAAAACATATAAGTTTAGATTTTTTTGAAGCTCTGAATAACAAGAAATTACCAAATGTTTTTTATTGTTAAAACAAGTATAGTTTTAGAACAATCAAGAAAATAATTTTAATCAATCTTAACAAATTAAAAATATTAATTCCTTGACAGTCCAAGTAATAAGAAATACTGCTAGATTATTAATGTTTTCAGATTTGTCAAAAGACTTGTCATAAGACATCACAGTCATTTTAACTCATTTTAAGCAACCAATGTTTACAACCTTGATGAGACAGGTGTAACGACCATACAGCGTAACAGACCATACAGGTATAACAGACCATACAGCAAAATTTATAGTTTGTTAAGGTGTAAAATAAGTTAGAGTGGGCTACCTTAGACAAAATTTGAATAACTTTTGGATAAACATAGATAACAGTGAAATGTGAATTATAATGAAATGCAGACCAGACAGTGGAATAAGCAGTTAAAATGTTCAATTTTTCAATGTCACAGTTTTGTTATTTTTTATAAGTTTCACAAAACAAATCTTGATCTGTTGATTTTTTGCAATGTTTTTTTTTTATTGAGCAATTAAATGAAATTTTACTATGGGAAATTCTGAATTTATTTAATTTTTTTAATGACATTTCTTTTAGTACTTGACAATAAATAATTCTCGATAATTCTTCAAGTTTCTTGATAGTTTATTTAATATTTAATACATAAATAAATTAAAAATCAGTACTTAGCTGTATTTTATGTTTTATACATTAAATAAGGTTCCAATATTCATAAACTCTGCAGAAAATTCTGCCCCCTTCAATTATCGTCTGATCAGTCTTCTTTCTGTTATTAGCAAGGTCTTTGCGTCTTTGATCAAAAATTCCTCACATCTCATCTTGATTCAAATAAACTACAGTCAGACAATCAATACGGTTTTCAATCCTCTCGCTCCACAGCCGACTTGCTAACTGCTGTAACTGAAAGATTTTATTGTGCATTAGATGGAGGCGGTGAGGCTAGGGCTATTGCTCATATCTAAAGCTTTCAGCAAAGTTTGACATGCTGGTCTTCTCCATAAGCTTGCTTTATATGGTGTTTCTGGGAAAGTTTTTGAGACTATCAAATCATTTTTTTTTAACTGGTTTATTAAAGTCATTCTTGAAGGCCAACATACTTCTTTATTTCCAGTAATTTCTGGGGTTCCCCAAGGTTCCATCCTGGCCCCTGTTTTGTTTCTTATCTACATAAACGATCTTCCTGACAACCTTTCATTTAAAGTAGCTCTTTTTGCTGATGGCTCAACTTTATACTCCTGTCTTGACAAAAAGTCTTCTCTTTTCGATCGCCTAGAACAAGCAGCTGATCTTGAATCTGATCTCACTTCAGTAATAGATTGGGGTTCACAGTGGCTTGTGAATTTCAACTCTAACAAAACCCAGTTGTTTACTGCAAACAACTACCGTAATATGGTCAACATTTCTATATTAATGAATGGCAATCCTCTTACTCAGTCCTCCACTTTACATCTTCGTGGATTATCGCTTACTACTGACCTTTCATGGAAACCATACATACAATCGATTGCTAAATTAGCTTCTGCTAAGGTTGCTTCTCTTTATCGTGTTGCCATTTCCTTACTTCTGATTCCCTTCTCTACCTCTACAAATCTCTTATTCGTCCCTGTATGGAATACTGTTTTCATATTTGGGCTGGTTCTTCTAACAATTTACTTTCACTTCTTGACAAGGTCCAAAAACGCATTGTAAATGTTGTTGGACCTGGACTATCTGCTAAGCTTGAGCTTCTTTCCCATTGTCGTAAAGTTGCATCTCTTTCTCTTTTCTAAAAATACTATCATGGTCACTGCTTAAAGGAGTTATCATCTCTAGTTCCATCAACTAAAATTCATTCTCGTTTTACTCGTCATTCAGCTAAGTTTCATTCGTTTACTGTATCTGTCCCTGCATGCTCTAAAAATTTTTATTCATCTAGTTTTTTTCCCCGCACTTCAATCTTTTGGAACTCTCTCCAATCTTCATGTTTTCCTGACTCATACAACCTTCAACTTTTCAAGTCTTCTGTCAACCGTTTCCTTGCTCTATAAATCTGTTCTTTTTTTTTCCTAGTAACTCCCAACTTAATAGTGGTTGCTTGCAGCCTTGTTGGGAGTGAATGCAAATAAATAAAAAAATTTGAAATGCTAATTTGACAAAAATTAAAAACTCTTTTTAACTTTTGTTTACCATGTTCTGTCTTGAATAGATTTTGATTTTAATGGCAAATAGCACATCCCTAATTTTTTATATGCAGTTTTGCACCTTCTTCATTGCTGGGTTGATATTGTTCAAGTTAAAAATAAAACTTATTGATAGAGTCATTAAAATTTTTATTAAAATATAAGATCTTTTATTTAGTTTGAAACATGAAAAATATGGACATCACTACATAAACATATTAACACAAAACATAAACGTTTATTTTAAGGTTCATTGAAGGGAAAAAGATTACTTAAAAATATAACTTTAAGCAAACACTTGTTTGTTAGTTTTCAACCCAAATTCCAGATTTTTAATTTAAATAAACCCAGATTTTTAATTTAAATAAACTAAATAATTCTATTAAGTGATTAAGTTATTCAATATATATTTAAATTGTTACATTTTTTTAGATTTTTTTTTAATTCTTATAAATTTATCAGTATTATTTATATTATTAATTGATTTTATTTTTATACTGACTTTAAAAGTATTATATAATATTTAATAGTTTATTTTTAGCTTGCAAACTTAATTTCTTCACTTGTTGTGCTGTTGGCCATGGTTGTACTTGCTTCATACTTCCAACCCCTACCTAATGTATGTTTTTTTTTTTAGTTTTCCAATGTTAATCCTTTTGAATTCAGACTTTAAACAGAACTAAATTAATTTTTAGAAAATGTTGTAAAAGATAAAAGGTGTTAACAAGGAATAAACTTTTTTTTTAATGGACTAGTAAGTTCTTGAGGAATTTGTATTAACATTCTTGTTTTTCTTTCTCTTCTTCTATTTACTATTATGCGCTCTCTTACCCCATTCTAGTGCAGCTATCATGGTTAGGCATTGCAGAGAATTTTTTTTTTATCTGATTTAATGCTTAAGAACATTCGCTGGCGCCTAATTAGTCTTAATCATAAATGGCGTGCGATGGTATGCAAATCCTAAACACACAATAAAAATATGTAAAATTTGAAACTAATTTAATTTTAACATGGTCCTACAAAACTTAGATATAGTATTCATTTGAGATGAATAAAATTAACTTTGTTTCCTGTTTAATGTATTTGGAATATGCATAAGATTAGTGTGTCATTCCTGACCAAGACCTCCTTTCCAAGGTCATCACACTTTAAGATACTCAGCAACCTCTTGACACTGGTGTACACTCTTTGAGAAGCGCAGAGTAAGCCTTCTAAATAAATGGATAGTTGTTTCCATTGTAAAACAACATGCCTTTGAGGCTCCAGTATGAACTGTTTATAAGTAGGCGCCATTCACTCTAGTTATATGTGATATCAATAGCCTTGAAAAGACTGGCTATATTGTTGCAGAAGCAAACAAAGGCATTTTATTTTTTAAATTAGTCATTTTTCTACTTGAAATTTTTTTTTTCTTTTTAATACTTTTTTTTTTTAACATACCATGTTTTGTTTTTTCTTTTAATCTAAAGTTTTCAATTTGTATGAGCATTAGCTTAAAAGTTATCAATTGTAACAGCATTAGCTTAAAGGTTATCAATTGTATGAACATTAACTTAAAAATTATCAATTGTATGAACTTTAACTTGAAAATTATAATTTTTTTTTCTTTATTTTTGACTAAAGTAGAAAAATGTTAGGTAATGCTTCCTCTTTCGCGTGTTTTTATCTGACAAATTTCACTGTTTGAGTCTAGATATCAGAGAAAAGCATTTGACTAAGACCTTTGTCTCTAATTAGATCATTGACATCTTTTTGGTTAGGGAAGTACAGCCTCTTCTGCCCAACTGCATCTGTAAAACAGTAATTTGTATCTTCAATATCTTCTTCAATATGATGTGTTTTCTTGAAGATGGTTGGTTCCTCATAGGAGTATTGTGGGAACAGACAGCTCGTTCCATTTTTTTTTTTTTTTTTTTTTTTTACAGTCATTTGAAAATAATTTATTTTAAATATAAAAAAAATTTTGTTTAAAAATATTTCAAATTATTGTGTGTTGGTAATATTATTGAAAGTATGAAGAACATATTCTAAAATGCTGCAAATGTCTAGAATCCTGCTTGATTTATCCCCTACCAGCAAATAATTATTTCTACAGTTTTCTTCAAGGTGAAATTGAACCAAGGATTCAAATATTCTCAGATGCAAATAAGAAATATTTTTAACTAGAACTCATTGCCAAAACAGCATGAATGTTTAGCAAATTGGTAGTGTTGTAGTGGTATAACACTTGATTTGTAAACAAGATATATAAAGTTCAAACCTACCACATCCTGGTTCTACCTTCAAGTACTACATGTTCATCCATGCAGTGGCCTTGTTTGTCAAAGTTTATGTTTTGGAGAGTTAAAAGAGAGGGATTTTTCTTGATTTTTTTTTTTTTTTTTTTTTTTTTTTTACGAACAAATGAAATAAAAATAAAAGTAATAACAATAAAAAGCTTATACTATAGCTTTGGCTGTAGTGGCCCCCTAAACTGCAGGTGAATGTATTAAAAAAAAAGGTTATCAAACTAGAATTTAGTTTATTCATATTGAATGCTTAACTTAAAATATTGTTCATATATAATAAATTTAATAGATATAAAAATATAATAGATAGACTATTATCAACTACACATCTTTCAAATTGTAATTTGAAGCAAGTTTGCAACATATTTGAACAATTTCTGGCATTTCTTCATTTCTTTCACTAAAAGTTTGAAAGTCACTAAAATCTTGCCACCATTTATTTACTAATACTAAAATAAAAAATATCTTAAAAGCGATATAACAGAAAAAAGGTCAAATATAAAAGTCCTAGTAATGTCCCAAAGATATATAGTTTTAAATGTATTTACTGTATATTACTGTAGGTTGTGAGACCAACATAAATATGCACCAATAGTAGTTCTTACTAGCATTAATTAATCTTAGTCAACCCTAACTAACGTTAAATAATTTTTATTGTCCAAATCTAATTAACACCATTGGAGTATTATTTCAATAGTGTTTAAATTGTGTTACAGAAGTTTGGCAGATGATTGGTGAACCAATTCTGCCAGTTAGAACCTACAGAAATTCAGCAGAATTAGTGAAAAAAAAATCGGTAAGCTTTTTATGCTTTAGATACAAAAATCTTCTACTGCATATTAGGCGTTTTTTTTTTTTTTTTTAAATATCACAAATCTAATATACAGGCCTTGAACATGAGGCCTATGAACATAAAATGTGTAATACATAAGCATAATGGCATCATAAAATTTTTCTTATTTGCTTTTCTAATTTTTTTGTCTAAACATTAACTTTTTAAAACTTTAACTTTAAATTATTTGATTTAAATTAAACAATTCAAAACAATTTTATTATGTTCAAATGTTATTAAATGTTTCCAGTTATTAAAACATTATACTACACTTTTTTTTGTCTATAAAAATTAAGTAAATGGCATCTAAACTATTAAGTGAAGTACTTTCCTAACAAGATGCTGATTTTGATTTCTTCTGAAATTGTAATTCAATTTTTTAGGAAAAAAGTTGGTTGAAGCAAACACACCAATAATTCAACTTCTAAAACAGAAATGTAAAAAAAGAATTGCTAAAAGAAGAAACATTTAATATACCTAATGTAATATTTGCTAAACTCAGATATTTACCAAATCAGATGTTTAATAAAAAGAAACAATAAAGAAAATCTTGCCATTAATCCTATTCAAAGATTATTCCTAATAAAGAAGACTCATGTTAATGATATTAAAGATAATCATTAATTGAATTTAGAAATGAAATGTTTTATTTAAAAAATTTTCAAATAATAATCATCAAAGGTGAAATTGGATCTTATATGCATTAATTTTTTTTTTTAATAATTATTTAAAAGTTTAAATTGTATTATATATAAAATTAGTTTTTTGTAAATTAAAAAAAAATTGTATAGTAGTAGTGTTTTCTACTTTAATATTGTTTTCTACTGGTTCTTGATATTTTATATAGTCTCTTATGTTTTAGGTTAGGCCTTATGTTTTAAGATAATCATTATAATGAATACCCTGTTACTAGTAACATATAATCAGGTACAATGTGCCACATGTTCTGTTGCATTGTGGGACTTGTTTTCTAGACAAAGGCTGGGTGAAGTTTACTCTGGCTTCAAATTCCCCTGCTCCAAGGCTCCAATGGTACCTTAAAAAAAAAGCTTGTCTTGGGCCGCTTTTGAGGTTTAATGTCATCTGGTTTCAATTTTAAAGAAGAACTCTTTAAGTTTAAGTTTCTGTTCCATTTTTATTGCATATCTTTTATGGATACTATGAAATCATCTTTGTTGTCATAATAACTACTCATACTCATAAAAAGATGACAATTCCAGAGATAAACTCATAAAAAGATAATAATTGAAAAGATAAACTCATAAAAAGATGATAATTCAAGAGATAAACTCTATAACTAGATAACTCATCTCTTGTTTGACTAGTTTTTTTAGTTAGTTTTTTTTTTTCTTGAACATTAATGCTTTAAATTCTTTCCTGTTTTCATGTTTTCCTAACTCATACAATTTATAGTTTGTAAGTTTTTGATTTGAAAACAATAAATTACTGTTTTATTTTCTCTTTAATTTTTAGTAACTCCCAAGTTAGATAATGATACTTGCAGTCTTACAGTAAATTTGTTTAAAAAAAAAGCTTTAGTTGATGTATATATTATTAAATTATAAATATATAATTAAGAATAAGTTAGCTTATTGGAGTATATTTTTTTAGTTTAACACACACATATATATATATATATATATATATATATATATATATTATATATATATATATATATATATATATATATATATATATATTTATATACAGTGCTTGAAGTGAGGCGGGATGCGACGGGATGCCATCCCATCACCTTTTCATTAATCATAAACCATTTATTTATATATACATATATATATATATATATATATATATATATATATATATATATATATATATATATATTTGTTTATTTTAGTATATTTTAGTGTGTTTTTTAAGTACAAAAAGTTTTTGTAATTATAACTTTATGTGTAATAAAAATTTAGGCAATTCTTGCGGCTATAGTTTGGGTTGCATTAAAAGGTATTTTCAAACAGGTTTATGATGTAAAGTTGTTATGGAAGGTTTCAAAAGTAGATGCAGTAAGAGTTTTTTTATGTACTTTTATTACTTTAAAAATTCATATGCATTGATTTTAAAACAGTTTTCTTTTTAAGTTCATTTGGATTTCTTCTTTTGTTGCTGTTGTTTGCTTCGATGTGGATATAGGGCTTGCTATTGCAATTGGTATTAATATTACTCTCTCAGTAATTAGAGCATCTAGGTAAGTTAATAGATTATAAATGGATTAACTTATAAATAATTTTTGTGGTTATTGGGTTTAAAGTTGTTTTTCTTTGTTTGTGGGCAAAATAGTTGTTTAATTAGTTGTGGGTTGAAAATATTTTGTTAAGTTAGTTGTGGGTTGAAATAGTTATGTTCAATTGATTGTAGGTTGAAAAGTTGTGGACAACAGCTTATACTTTTTAATATTTTTTGTGATTTTTTGTAACTTATTTTTTAAATCCTTATTTTTTTAATTGTTTGGATTTTAAGAATTATATTGTAATTTTATTAGAATTTCTTTATTGCTGTTGCTTTGAATATTTTTTCTTTATATTTTTTTTATCTTGCTGTTAAATTAGCTGTAAATTTTTATTAGACCTTCGTATGCATTGCTTCAAAATTTTAAAGAAACAGAAATCTACATTGCTTCATCTGGCAAGACGGTAAGGGTAAATGAACACATTTTTTTAAACATATATATACAGTCACACTGTAAAGTAAGTTGACAACACATGAAAGAATGGTATCTTTCATTATAGGCTATTCTGTAGCGCGATTTCGTAGTGTAAACATGCTAAGTCATTATGAATGATGTAATTCATAAGATGTCAAAATATTTTAGTTGTTTATACTGTAGCATCCAAAGTGGGAAGATTGTTAATTTTATTTTTTTTGTTTATCAATATTTTTACAGACTGGTTGGAAAGTAAGTTCACACAAATAGTTTTTATATAATTTTAAGAATTATTATCTTAGTTAATTTTTTTTTTAAATATATTATTATCTTACATTTGTTCTAAAATGCTGAAAGTTAGAGAGTTAATACTTCACGAGCCATAAATAATTTATGAAGAAAAACCAGTTGCAGAATTTGCTAACATATTTCATATTTTAAGAGATAATGTAAATAAAATTTAAAAATTTTTTTTCACAGGAACCACCTTTACTTTACCTCGAAGTGGCCAAAAACAAAAGACAGTACATTGTTATGAACAATTAATTACGACTACAGCAAAGAAAATGTCATTTATGATAGCACAAGAGCTGAAAAAGATTTAAATTTACCAATTGGTGTTATCCAAATCATATTTAGATTAAATGAAGCTAAATTTTGTGGACGTGTGGCTATAAAAAAAAGATTTATTTCAAAGATTAATGCTGCTAAGTGTTTGCCAAAGAGCATGTAGATAAGCCTGGACAGTTTTAGGAAGGTATCCTTTAGTCAAACAAAAGTAAGTTTGATCTATAAACAAAAAAATGGTGCTAAAGGGTGTGGCGAAGGTGAAAAGGGTGAAGGGGAAGCACATAAAATTACTGTAATGATCCAGAAAAAACAAGGCTTCTGTTTGGTTTGCGGTTGTTTTTTTAGTAAAGGTGTAAGTTAATTACAATTTATTGATGGTAAATAAACTGCTCAATTAACAGATTCAATCCATCAGTTAGGCTTAATAAGCAACTGCATCTTTCAACAGGACAATGATCCCAAACACACTTCCAAAATTACAAAGAAATTTCAAACTGGTTACTAAATTTCTTTTTATATTATATAAAAACTAATTTTCTATTTCTTTGTTGTCAACTTACTTTCCGATTGGGTATTAAATTGTAGATCATTTCCAAACATATATTCTAGGTTTGTTGCATTAATTTATATATTTGATTACCAATGAAAAATAATGTATTGTAGTGTAATAATGTGAAAAATGTTAATGTGTTTAAAATAAACATATTTTATATTTCGAAACATATATAAATATTTATATATATAAATCGTATATATATATAAATATAAATATATATAAATCGTATATATATGTATAAATAAATAAAACATATATATATATATATATATATATATATATATATATATATATATATATATATATATATATATATATATATATATAAGCATATTTAATATATATAAATCAGAATAATTAAAATATACATAACAAAATAACAATATATATATTAGTATAGTACAATATATAACAATATATATATAAGTATAATATATAACAATATATATAAGTACAATATATAACAATATATATATAAGTATATAATATATAACAAAATAACAATATATATATATAAGTATACAAAATAACAATATATATATAAATATATATATATAAATATATATATATATATATATATATATATATATATATATATATATATATATTTATAGAACAACAAAATATATATAAAATAATGACTGCTTCAACGTCACAATGGGTTGTTACGATGGAGCCGAGGTTTGCGAGCTGGTTGGTCTGTATATATTATATCATTATTATCAGTCCGTCGTTCCAGTCCGGAACGACGGACTGATAATAATGCGTCAAAAATCTGCCGCACAGATAGATAGAATCCGAAAAAATATTATAAAAATTTTTAAAAAATCGGCTTCCAAATAGAAATTACGACAAACCTAACAATCGCTAACTTCTTAGACGTTACATTTAACCTTGAAAAAGCCTCATATCATTTTTTCAAAAAACCAAATAGCAACCTACTTTACATCCACACTGAGTCCAACCACCTCCCACAAATTATTAAACAAATTCCGATTGCTATCAACAATAGGTTATCCCAGAATTCTTCTGATGAAAAAATATTCAACTCGGCAAGGAAAGAATATGACGAAGCCCTAAAAAGAAATGGGTTCAAAGATTTTAGCTTCAAATACAACCCTAAAATTGATACCAAAGTAACCCCCAATCGTAAAAGAAAAAGAAATATAATCTGGTTTAACCCACCATACAATAAAAACGTTCTCACAAATATAGGCAAAACCTTCTTACAATAAATCGACAAACACTTTCCAAAACCAAATCCGCTTCATAAACAATTTAACCGTAACACAACAAAAGTCAGCTACAGCTGTACAAGCAACATAGCAAAAATTATAAAGAACCGCAACAATAAAATTATTTCGATGAACCCAACGGCCACTTTAGCTTGCAATTGTAAACTAAGCAAAATGAATGCCCTATGAATTGCAGAAAAACAAATGTAATTTATAAGTGCATTGCATCATTCCCAAATACATCCGACAAAACATACATTGGTTCAACAGAGGGCATGTAGAAAACTAGATGGGCGAATCACAAGCAATCCTTCAAAAATAAAAAACTCACAAATGCAACAATGCTTTCTAAATATATATGGGATACACAAAATAAAACAAAAACAACACCCAATTTAAAATGGTCTATCATAAAATATGCCCCTGCGTACAACAACATAACCAAAAAATGCTTGTTATGCTTATACAAAAAACTAATTATTTTATTGTATAAAAATCCTCAAGAATTAACATTTTTATTAAACAAAAAAAATGAACTAATATCTAAATATCGCCATGAAAACAAGTTTATGCTGGACAACCACAAACCAAAAGATTAGATTTTTTAACTCATTTTCTTTTGTACAGATTTATTATTTTTACAAGAAAAAAAACATATTTACACCTGATGATTGCATTTAGCATGAAACTAATAGTTGTGAAAAATATGCAGTTATATATATGCATATATATATATATATATATATATATATATACATACATATATATATATATATATATACATATATATATATATATATATATATATATATATATATATATATATATATATATATATATATATACATATATATATATATATATATATATATATATATATGTATATATATATATATATATATATATATATATATATATATATATATATATATATACATATATATATATATATATATATATATATATATATATATATATATATATTATATATATATATATATGTATATATATATATATATGTATATATATATATATATAAATATATATATATATATATATATATATATATATATATATATATATATATATATATATATATGTATATATATATATATATGTATATATATATATATATGTATATATATATATATATATAAATATATATATATATATATATAAATATATATATTATATATATATATATATATATATATATGTATATATATATATAAATATATAAATATATATATATATATATATATATATATATATAAATATATATATATATATATATATGTATATATATATATATAAATATATAAATATATATATATATATATATATATATAAAATATATATATATATATATATCACTATATGTATATATATATATATATATATATATATATATATATATATATATGTATATATATATATATATATATATCACTATATGTATATATATATATATTTATATATATATATATATATATATATATATATATATATATATATATATATATATCACTATATGTATATATATATATATATATATATCACTATATGTATATATATATATATATATATATATATATATATATATATATATATATATATATATATACAGGGTGTTCGGGATAAATTTGACAGTTTCGAAAGAAAAAGGAAAATCTTCTTTGTATCTATTAAATTTAATGAGTTGACAAAAAAGTTACAGGCATAGTAAATTACAATACTATGAACAAAATTCACTCAAAATAACCACCATTAGCATCGATCACTGCTTCAATCCTGCTTCGGAATTTTGAACAAGCTAATGCTACAGTCTCCCTGGGAAGGGCCTCAAAAACTGTTTTAATTTTATCCACTAACTGGGCTTTTGTATTACTGGAAGTGCAATTAGTGTCTTTTTCAACTGCGCCCCATACAAAATAATCTATGGGGTTAAGGTCTGGAGAGTTTGGAGGCCAAACATTTAGACTGGTGAAGTCGTAGAAATTTTCAGACAACCATTTTTGACTTTTCACAGAGGTATGGCAAGGGGCCGAATCCTGCTGCCATACATACGGCCTACAATTGGCTACCCTTGTTATCCAGGGCTTGACTACAGTGTTCAGCAACTCCACGTAGCCATCTGAAGTCAACCTGAGGCCCTCTTGGAAAAAATGCGGAGCCATCACATCGCCTTCAGAGGATACACATCCGAAAACCATCACAGTTTGGGGAAATTTAGTCTGCATTACACGAGGAATGTCCTTTGTACTGCATGCAAGCCACCTGTTATTCTGCGTGTTGTGTTTTTGATCCTGGCAAAAGTTTTTCTCATCGGAAAAAAACCAGATTGTTTGTGGTTCTAGAGGATGTTTCACTTTGTTTAGAAGTTTCTTCGCGTTTATCAAACGTTTTTCACGGGCCTTTTCTGTGAGTAGCTGACCTTTGTGGCGCTTGTATGAGTAGTAGCGAAGGTCTTCATTGAGTGCAAGCTTCATAGTAGAGGATGCAACATTCATTTCACGTGACAAAGCCCGAATTCCAATGCCAGGGTTCTTCAACACCTGTTCCTGCAGACTTGCGAGGAATTCTGCTGTACGAACGCAATCAGATCGTCTGCTAGGGATCTTTCTTCTTACTACATCCTCGTAGTCACCATTGCAAGTCTCTAGTTCATACCTGATTGTTTTTACTGTGTTCAGGGAGCATTGGGCAGCAGTCATAATATCCTTATTTTGATGGCCGGCACGAATCATCATGATGCACGTTATTCTCTTCCATGATTCAGGTGGGTTCCAGTCATTCATCCTTTCTGACATCTTGTATATGAATGAAGAAGGGTTCAAACTTTTAAATGACCTGTAGTGTGTGTTAATACCTATAATCTACAAAAAAATATAATCAATTATAAATATGTCAAATTTATCCCGAACACCCTGTATATATATATATATATATATATATATATATATATATATATATATATATATATATATATATATATATATATATATGTATATATATATATATATATATATATATATATATCACTATATGTATATATATATATATATATATCACTATATGTATATATATATATATATATATATATATATATATCACTATATGTGTATATATATATATATATATATATATATATATATATATCACTATATGTATATATATATATATATATATATATATATATATATATATAAAATTTTCAAATAAATAATAATTTTTTTAAAAAAAAAGCAAATTAAACTTTTTTTTAAAAAAAAAGTTTTATTTTGCTGTGAGCATATATTTAGCAAGAGTGCTCGATGAATGATATCAGAGCTATATAATTGATTTTTTGACGAGGTTAAATAAAAAATAACATAATTTTATATTTGTTTAAATATATATATATAAATATATTTGTATATGTGTATAAGTATATACTATTTTTATTTAACTGTACATAATTATACAGAAATGAAATATTTAATAAATCTTTTTCTTTTGATGATGATGGACTTTTTTTTTTTTTCAAGCCCATTGAACACCCAGCAAATAAATTGTCTCTAAAAAGCTTATTTGATATTAGGCAAGATTTAAAGTTTTAATAATAACAGATATAAAAAATCCACTTTTTTAGATTTTAAGTTAAATAACTTTTTTAGATATAATTATCAACTTTAAATAGCTGTTCTTTCATATAGGCCGCAACTGTTGAATGTTTTTTGCTTTATTATTGCTTAACAATATAAATTCATTTACAAAATATTTTTGTATTAAATATTTATGTGAAAAATATAAATATGCAAACGATTCAAATCAATCAATTGATAATCTAATAATTAATCAATAATTAATCAATGAAACAATTGGCATTGTTGAATTACAATTGGTTCAAATCATTGTAATACAATTGGGTATCCAATAATTAATCAATTTAGTTATTGCAATCATTGTTGAATTGGTTATTGCAATCATTGTTGAATTGGTGAAGGTGAAAAGGGTGAAGGGGAAGCACATAAAATTACTGTAATGATCCAGAAAAAACAAGGCTTCTATTTGGTTTGCGGTTGTTTTTTTAGTAAAGGTGTAAGTTAATTACAATTTATTGATGGTAAATAAACTGCTCAATTAAATTGAATTGTTGAATTGGTTATTTCAATCGTTGTTGAATTGGTTATTTCAATCATTGTTGAATTGGTCAATTTGATCAATTTAATCAGCATTTAAAATCACACACACACACACACACACACACACACACAAACACACACACACACACACACACACACACACACAGATAAACCTTGGATGATAATCCTTCTAGGGGCAGTACCACAAAAAAATATTCTTGAACTGAAGAGAATACGGTTGTAAAAAGTCGTTTTAACTATTTTATAATGTCTTATTTTAATAAATAGTTAACATTATGGAAACTTATCTAAACCACTCAGATAAAAAATCATGTGCATAAAACTGAAAAGAAAAAATTTATTTTATATAATCAAAAAATAATTGTGTTAATTATAATTTTTTTGTTTTTAGTTCGATAATATTCCCGGAGTGAAAATATTCCAGTATCGAGCACCACTTTTCTATGCTAATGTAGAACATTTTCAAAACAGTCTTTACAAAAGTACTATACACCCAAATTTTTGCACTGTTGTCTCACATGATTCTACAAATTGGATTGAATCAAATTGTGATAATGAATATTTTAAAGACTACCCAGATGAAAATCCTAAAAAACTTTTGGTAATTATTTTTAATAAAATTCTTATTTAAATTTATATTAACTTTAAATTTTTTATTTAAACCATATTTCAAGAATCTTTTATTTAAATTATTGAATTAACTGTTCTATAATGTTTATCTTTTTTTTTCTTTCTAATGTTTATTTGTTCTCTAATTTTTATCTAGTCTTAATTGTTTGTCTGGTCTTTAATGTTTATTTGGTCTTTAATGTTTCTCTAATCTTTCCTAAGCATAAAATCAAAAACTATATTGCAATAATAAATTTTTTGTTTAAAACACAAAAAAATGCATGAAATCATCAAAATACAACCACAAAAACAACAAAAAAACAAAAAGGTTAGAAAAATAAACACAGTTACAAAATGACAACAAAAAGTTATGAAAACATCAAGGTATCTTTACAAAAGACAAATTGTTAAAGAACTTTGCTTTGCTGCAATAAAAAATGGTTTGTGTTTTATGCAAGTCTAGGTTATTATTATTGTTATTTAAGTTGGAACATCATACAAAGTTGGAACATCATGTCTTAATTTAAATTTAAATTTAAGTGACCGAGACAGATATTTTTTAACATGAAAGCTGATTTGATTATTTGTTGTGCCTTTTATGCCAATACCTTGATCATTTTTTTTTTTTTTTTTTAATTGCAAGAGTAAATAACAAATTAAAAGACAAATACATTTGTTTTCTGTTTTAATTTCCTTATAATAGTCTTAAATTGTGGAAGGTTTGTTTTATAGAAGATGTAGGAAACCAATACAAAGCAGCTCTGATACAAAATTAAATGAAACAACTGAATAATTACAAATAATAGACTGAACAAAATTTTGTTAGAACTTGATGGAAACTTTTGCTGAACATTTTTGACATTTTAATTTTGTCACAGTTTTAATTTGTTTAAATACCTGAGAAATTGATAGTTAGTATTAAAATTTCATAGTAGTATCAAATGCATTTCAAATATTCAAAATATATTGAATAAAATTGAAGTATTCGATTTTAAATAAGATATAAAGCATAAAGCACACCTAAGTAAAACCATTTTCTGTGCTTGTGTAATGTTACTCTTAACTGAAATATTAAAAAGTACAGAAACTAGTTAGTACTTATGTGTTTTATGTCTTTATCATTGTTGTATATTTTTTGCATTTCAATGTCTTTTTAATTAAATTTTTTATTTAATACAGCAAATTTTTAAAGGAAAGTATTTTTATAAAAATAATATTAAAACATAGACTATTGCTAACATATATTATCTATGCATTTTAGATTTTTCTAATATGTCAAATAAATGTAATAAAAATGTTGTTAAAAAATATTCAAGAGTATGGGCAAAAAATTTAGTTTCATTTGAAAAACGACATCAAGAATTGGTGTACTTTCTATTGAAAAACCATTAGATTTATTTAATAGAATGCTAAAAATAACTTTTATTACTGGACATTACAACTACCATGCATCAATTGAATAAAGCAGAAAAGAAAGAGTAAAATTAGTTGCAGTCAATTATGGAACTTATGGAACAAACTCAACTTTTCAAGTATTTCCAAGTAAGTAGAAAAATTGAAAAGTCTATAGAAAAACATGACAAGTTTTTTAAAAAGTTTGGCGAAAAAGAAGAATGCTCTATTTTAGGAAATCTTTTTCATATCACCAATATTATGGGCATGTGACTTAGTCTGGAAGATAAAAAATTTTTTAGCATACAATTATTAAGTTCAGGAGAAGTTGGTCACAGTACTAACACTTAAGTGTCATTATATCCTTCAAAAGTCAGAGTTTGTAATGCAAAAGATACAATTTTGACAAGCGAAGTAAATAATTTTCCAGTTAGCAGTTCAACTGCATCAGAAAAATGTGGTTTAGATTTAGATTCATAAGACAATAACAAACCAGTGGAAATTAAAAAATCAAGAAAGAGAGTATACAATAGAACCAAGTTAGCATCTAGTCTTGTGATAACTAAATATTTAAGTACAAATAAATTAGCTAGAATCTGTAAAAAAATATATGAAAAAAGTAATGAAATAGAAACTCTAAGTCAGACAGGAATATGGAGATCAGCTATAAGGCAAGGGGAAAAAAAAAGAAGAAAATTGTTACTAAAATAGTGCAAGAAGAACACTTCTGCCTAGATTTTGATGGAAAGAAAATGAACAAGACTAAATACCAAGTTGTGATACTTCAAAATGATAATAATAAAATCAATTTAAGAATTCTTAAATTTGAAAGTGAAAAGTCCCATGATATTTTTGAAGCTTTAAAAGAATTGCTAAATGAATTTGATGCATGAAAATGTATTACAATGATTATATGTGACACAACAGCAGTAAACACAGGAAAATTAAATGGTATAGTTGCAAAAATACAAAATGAAATGAAAACCAAAGACTTTACTAAACCACAATACTTATGATGTCATCATATACTGGATCTCATTTTAAAATATGTTTTGGAAAATTTTTTTAAATTATAAATCAATAACTCTTTGTTTTGATTATAAATTTGTAAAGGATTTAACCTAAAATTGTGAAAATCTTCAAAAAAATTATATATATGAAGCTCAAAAAAGTTATAAAATAATTAGGCTCAAATCATTACATAAACCTGGAATACTGAAGACTGGAAGACTTCAAATTTCTTTATGAGTTAAGTGAAGCTTTTTGTTACTTCAAGAATCAAAAAAGATCACCAAAAATTAAGTGGCATAAGCTTCCTCCATTGCACAGTGATAGATGGAACTCTAGAGCATTATATGTTCTTATTGCCTATTTTCTTATATCAGCAGGGGTGTATCCTTGAAAGTGCGGCAACCTTTATTGCAAATCCGTGGAAAAAACTTTGGTTCAGCAAACAATTATTTAATGATAAATTATTTGACCATATGCTAAATGCATTGACTGAAATTAAGTGTACAGCTATGGAAAGCCAAAGCTGCCTTATGTGCATTCAGTTCATTATGCGATGTGCTCACTACATTATTTGCTGTGTTTATTGTATTATATAATGCGGTGACTACATTATATGGTGCACTCATTACATTATATGATGTGATAATTACATTATACGCTGCGCTAACTGCATTATATGCTGTGCTTACTACATTATATGATGTGCTCACTACATTATATGATGTGCTTACTACATTATATGATGTGCTCACTACATTATATGATGTGCTCACTACATTGTATGATGTGCTCACTACATTATACAATGTGCTCACTACATTATACGTTGCGCTAAAGCTATTATATGATGTACTCACTACATTATATGATGTGCTCACTACATTGTATGATGTGCTCACTACATTGTATGATGTGTTCACTACATTGTATAATGTGCTCACTACATTATATGATGTGCTCACCTCATTGTATGATGTGCTTACATCATTGTTCTTATGATATGCTTACATCATGATGACTATTATAAAGTTATGATAAAAATATAAATTAAAAAATAATTTTTTTAATTTATAAAATGGCAGATATCAGCTAAAGAGTGTAATGCAAGATCTTAGACTTTCTCATCTGATTACAAACTTTCAACAGGAAAATATGGCTATTGATCTGATTTTAAAGTTGTCTTTGAGAGACTTTGAAGTATTAGGTTCAAATAAACAAAAGGTAATAAAATTAAAAGTTAAATGTTCAATCCAGGGCTGTGGAGTTTGAGTCGGAGTTGCAGAGTTGCGATATTTTTAGTGGAGTTAGAGTCGCTAAACAAAATCGCGACTCCGACTACAATAGTAAAACTTCTTGGTATTGCACTTGCATGTACAAAACATTCAATAACCTTATGTTCATACTTAACCTCAAAAAACATTTCATAAACTTGTCAAAAAAATTTTTTTTAATTTATTGCATAATATTTTTTAAAGAACTCAAAGAATTTTTCAAAAATTTTGCTTTGGGGTTGGAGTCGGAGTAGGAGTTAGAGTTGTACTAAAAAAATTTTAACAACTGGAATCGGAGTTCTACTCAAAAAATTTCAACAACTGGAGTCTGAGTCATTACTTTTTTTTTACGACTCCACTCCCCTTGTTCAATCTACAAAAATACTCAATATGTATCCAAATGAACATGGAGGACCTTTAAAGTTTGAAATACCTTGTCATGTGTTAGAGAATGTCTTAAAAGTAGATTTTACAATTAAAGACATTTCTAAACTTCTAAATGTCGTTGAGAGAATTATTTACAATCAAATGAATGGTTACAATCTCAAAAAATATATTTTTTCTAATATTGAAAATGATGATCTTGATTTGCGAGTAACATTGTTAACAAACGGTTCCCAAAAGGAGAAAGAATTCTTAACCAAAATGTGAAGAAAGAATGCTTAACCAAAATGTGGAGAAAAAATGCTTAACCAAAATGTGGACAAAAAATACTTAACCAAAATGTGGAGAAAGAATGTTTAACCAAAATGTGGAGAAAGAATGCTTAACCAAATATTAAAAGATCAAGGGATAAGTGTCCAAAGATCAGTATTGTGAAAATCAATATTAAGAGTAGACTATTTAGGAAACCAAAAGCGAAAGAAAAACAGTCTTAATTGCAGAATCTACAATGTAAAAGGCACGTTGAAAGGCATCTATGGCACATTGATACGAATCATAAGTTAGTACGTTGGTATTTTATAATAACAGGAGTTATAGATGGATTTAGTTGTTTGCTAGTTGCCCTTGTGTGTTTAACCAATAACAAAGCTAACACTTTATTTAATTGCTTTTTAAAATGTGTTAATGAATTTGGCTTGCCAAGTAGAGTTAAAGTATGACAAAGGTTTGGAAAATGTACTTCTTTGCAGATTACATGATTGCAAATACCGGAGAATGTAGAGGAATGTTAACTGGTAAGAGTACTCATAATCAAAGATTGGAGAGACATTTTTTCTGGTGTACTAAACTACTATGAGCTATTTTATTACATTGAAGATAGTTACATACAAGATCCTTCCAATGCAGAAGATTTGTTCACATTACATTAGGTTTT